GAGTCCTGGCATGGAACTGGGGGGTTAATATGCTGGACTGCAAAGTCAGTTTGAACTGCAAGGTCAGCGTTTCAAGCTCACCAGTTGCTCCTGGGAAACCTTGTACAGGGTCAGATATATATGGTTGTTGTTGCTGTTAAGCACCGTGGAGTCGGTTCCGATTTGTAGTGACTCTGTATAGGATTTCCAAGGAGTGACCGGGGAGTTTGAACCTTTGACTTTGTAATTCAAACTGACCTTGCCGTCAAGTGCTGACCCTCCAGTGCCACCCCAGGACTCTGTACACACACACACACACACACACACACACACACACACACACAACACGGGTCCTGGTGTGACACCGTATGGTCAGCACTGCACTGCTGATCCTCGTATATATGATAATATCTCACTGTGCAATCCGCACACTAACTGTACTGTGCTGACCCTCCAGCGCCAGCGCCCCCATGTCCATCTCATGGTAGAAGCCCCGCTGGAGCTCTGTGATTTTCCCCCCAGGTCCTGTGCTGTGCGCCCTCCAACGTTGCGGTGGACAACCTGGTGGAGCGCCTGGCCCGTTGCGAGAGGCGAGTCCTACGCCTGGGACACCCGGCCCGCCTGCTGGAGGCTGTTCAGCAGCACTGCTTGGACGCCGTGCTGGCCCGCAGTGACAGCGCCCAGATTGTGGCAGACATCAGGAGGGACATCGACCAGGCCTTTGTAGGTGTCTCTCAGCCAGACCCAGATCCAACCCAACCCCTGCCGTCGGGTCGGTGCCGACTCACAGCCACTGTAGGTTTAAACCACCCACCTTGGGGTTAGCAGGCCCCTAGTTGATGTTGAGTGCCATTGAGTTGGTTCTGCCTCAGAATGAGTTGACTCTGGGTACAGTTTCCAAGGAGCGTTTGGTGGATTTGAACCACCGACCTTACAGTTAGCAGTCCAGTGGTTATCCTCCAGTGCCACAGAAAATGGGTGATATCACACGGAATAAGTTCTGTCTTTCTGTCACCCCTGCCAAAAACCCCTTCTCCAAAGTAGTCACCACGGGTAAGGAAGGGGTCTCATGTCATCCTGAGAGGTTAAAGTAAGCAGCCGGGGGCTTGTCGTGAGGTGTTTTCAGGAGTCGGCTCTGACTCCGAGTGGCCCCGTGTACAGCAGTGTGAGCCCCCCTCCCCCCCAGGCCTACTCTCCCATGACACTGCGGCTGCCACTGGGCCAGTCCGTCTCGCTGGGGAACTTCCTCTTTTTTGCTGACCCTTCAGTTTTCCAAGCAGGCCATCCTTCTCCAGGGACGGGCCCCTCCTAATTGCATGTCCAGAGTATGCGCGGTGGAGTCTACCATCCTTCCAAGGAGCATTCTGTCCCCTTCAGGCTTCTTTGGTCTGCTGGCAGTCCGTGGTGTAGTACCTACTTTTTGTCAAGACCAGCACTGAAAGGCGTCAGTTCTGTGGTGGTCCTCACACATTGTCCAGCTTTTGCATGCGTATGAGGTGGTTGGGTTTAGGTGAACATTGTTGTTGTTGTGAGGTGCCATCAAGTCGGTACTGACTCATAGAGACCCTATGCACAACAGAACGAAACACTGCCCGGTCCGGGACCAGCCTCACAATTGTTGCCACGCTTGAGCCCATTGATGCTGCCTCTTGGCTAATCCAGCTCACTGGGGGTCTTCCTCTTTTTCTCTGACCCTCCACCATACCAAACATGATATCCTTCTCCAGAGACTGGTCCCTCCTGACAATATGCCCAAAGTATGAGAGACTAAGTTTGGCCATCTTAGCTTCCAAGGAGCACTCTGGCTGCACTTCTTCCAACACAGATCTGTTGGTTCTTTTGGCAGCCATGGCACTTTCAAATATTCTCTTCCAACACCATAACTCAAAAGCATCAATTCTTTTACGGTCTTCCTTATTTACTGTCCAGCTTTCACCTGGCTGAAAAAATGTCTTGTCACATGTGGAATGGTAAATTGGGTGCAGAATGACCACTGATGTTTTTCTGCTAAAACCCAGACCCCGAGCTGGGCAGTTTCCTCTTCCTTACATGCAGGTTTAGAAGTCTCTGGCCACCTCCTGGTCTTTCAGGAGTGTATTCAAAGATTCAGACGTTCCCTGTACAGCAAATGCGATTACCATGGAGGGTGGGGGAATGGCTAGTGGTGAAGTCCTAACAACCACAGGTTGGTGGTTCAAACCACCCAGAGGTATCTCAGAAGAGAGGCCTAAAGCCCTGCATCTGAAAGGTCTCAGCCAACTCACAGGGTTGCTGTGAGTTGGAATCGATGCGAGTCGGCAGTCCTGGGCGTGCTCTTGGTTTACGGGGTGCAAGTGTCAGGGCCTTCAGGAAAAATTCTGACATTTTAGAGTTTCTTCAGGACCGTAAGTGGCAGAGATAAAGAAGCGTGAAGGCTGTGTCTGTCTGAGTAACTTTTCCCTTCTTCACTTCCCTTTATAGGCGAAGACCGGAAAGGCTCAGGACAAGGGCGAGAAGAGTCGTTTGCGGAACGAGATCAAGCAGTTACGGAAGGAACTGAAGACGAGGGAAGAGGCAGCCATGCTGGAGAGCCTCACCTCGGCCAGTGTGGTCCTGGCGACCAACACCGGTGAGTAGCGTGCTGCACAATCCTCTCAGGACTGCGATGGACCAGGTGCTGGGAGATGGAGTGGCTCTCCCTTAGCGCTGGGATGCTCACCCGGAAAGCCTGGCTGCTTCCGGGGACCCCCTGTTCCGCCTCTGTAGTCAGAGAGCCAGCGGTCGGCTTCCGAGAACTGCCTTTTCTTCCCCAGTGGATGTAGGGATGTAGAAGTTTTCTGTTCAGTAACATTATACTGCATTGTTTTGGAATCCTGGTGTGGCGTTGTAGGATAAACACTGGGCTGTTAGCCACAGGGTTGGCGGTTCAAACCCACCAGTTCCTTGGAAACCCTAAGCAGGCTCGCTATGAGTCAGAACCCACTGGATGGCTTGTAGCAGCATCACTGTGCTTTTGGTGAAAGTTCACACAGCACATCGGGTTCCTGGAGACCAGTGTCTGTCTTAGCGGCGAGTGGTTACACTCTTGGCGGGAGAAAGATGGAGCACTCAGCCGCTCCCATAGAGATTTACAGACACCCCTGGGGTTGTTCCGCCCAGTCGTTTTGGGTCGCTGTGTGTTGGAACCACCTGTATGGCACTGGGTGGTGTGTTAACAGGATCTCTAGTGACGTCACTTCCCTCCCACCTGATATCAGCCACGTCTTCATTTATCCAATATTATTTTGACTGCAGGTATATTTTATTGATCTTTCAAAGAACCAACTTCTGGTTCCATTGCTTCTGTTGATTCCTGTTTTGGATATTTTATTATTTCCTTTTTTGCCTGCCTGTTGTTATGTGCTGTTGAGTGGGCTCTGACTCATAGAGACCCCCCCTCACAGTGTTGCTGTCTGAACCTGTTGCTCCTCTCTGTCAGTCTGTCCCTCTCGTTGAAGGTCGTCCTCAGTTTGGCTGATGCTCTTCTCCAGGGACTGTGCTCTCCTGTTATTAACATTTTCCAAATATGTGGAATGAAGTCTCACCCGCCTCACTTCTGGCTGTCCTTCTGCCAAGACAGATTGCTTCATTCTTCCGGCAGCGTGCTGTGCATGGTACACACAGTATTCTCTGCCAGGATAATTCAAAGGCATTGATTCGGCTTTCTTCTTCTTATCCATTGTCTAGCTCTTGCATGTGTATTGAAAATGACATGGCAACTGAGAATTGAAAGTTGAAAACGCCACAGCTTGGGTCAGGCGTACCTTAGTTCAACGTAACGTCTTTGCTTTTGAACACTTCATTGAGATCTTTTGCTTGCTTGCATTTCATTTGCTTCTCTTTTTAGTTCCTTAGGCAGGCACTAGCGTCAAGGACTCAAGATCCCTCTTTCTTCCTTGACATGGACAATTAGTCCTGTCCCTGTCCCCTCAATGCTCCTTTTGTGGCAGCGCTGTGGGTTAATGAGCTGGACTGCAAAGTTGTTTAAACTGCAAGGTTGGCGGTTCAAGCTCACCACCTACTCCTTGGAAATCCTATACAGGGTCGCTATGGATCAGAACTGACTTGATGGCACTTAACAACAACAACAGTTTCAGATAGGTCATATATTCATACATTTCAGAATCCTTTCTAATTACCCTTGCGCTAGTTTAGAGAATGTGCTGTTTGGTTTCCAAGGTAGCATTCTCAGATCTCTTTTTGTAATTACTGCCTAACCTAATTCCATGTACCCAGAGGACCTGCTTTATTCCCAATTTACTGGGACTCAGTCAACTCTGGAATCTGGGCTCTCTTGCTAAGCACTCCATGTGCTCTGGAAAAGACCCTAGCAGGTCAGGACGGCTGAGGGTGGTGGTCAGGACCACCCATTCATGCTGGTTTCCTGCCTACTTGCTCGACCCCTCATGAAGAGGGGCTAGTGGAATCGCCCACTGTAATCGTACATTTGTCTATTTGTCATTGAATTTCCATCAGTTTTTGGTGCGTGGCTTTCGAAGCTCTTGTTAATTCCGTAAAAGGTTATGTTCTCTTGATTGGTTAACCAGTTTGCCATTGTGAAATGATCTTCTTTTTCCCTGGGAATTTTTCAAGATGGAATTTCTCTGGTACTAGATTTCTTTTGACTAGTGTTAGTACGGTGGGTCTTCCATACCCTTTTACTGAAGTCCTGCTTTGCCCTCAGATCTGCCTGAGTTCTCTGGAGCTGCCAAAATGGAAATGCCAAGAGGGAGTGGGTTTAGCAAGCAGAAATGGATTCCCTCACAGTTCGGGAGGCTAGAAGTCCAAATCCAGAGCGTGGGCTTTAGGGGAAGGCTTTCTCTCCTTGTGGGCTCCTTTCAGCATCTGTAAACCCAGCATTCCTTTGAGATTTCCACACACCTTGGCATTGATCTTCCCCAGAACCTAGGGGCTCCACATTGCAGGGACCCCAGGACCAAAGGACCCGTCCCACTCCCGGCTCCTGCTGCTACGCTTCAGCCCATTGCTGCTGCCACTGTGCCAACCCATCTCCCGGGAGGGCTCCCTCTTTTTTGCTGACCATCAACTTTACCAAACATGATGTCCTTCTCCAGGGACTGGTCCCTCCTGATAATATGTCTGAAGTATGAGAGACGAAGTCTGGCCATCCTGGCTTCTAAGGAGCACTCTGGCTGCACTTCTTTCAACACAGATCTGTTTGTTCTTTTGGCAGTTCATGGTACCTTTAATATTCTTCAACATTGTAAGGCAAATACATCAATTCTTCTGTGGTCTTCCTTATTCACGGTCTAACTTTCTCGTGGAGGTGATAACCACGTCTTAACTTCCAAACCACTGAGAATCTTGGCCTAGCCAAGTTGGCACACAACCTTCAGTATCAGAACTACCTAAAGAGAATGTTCTGCAGATAGCACACAGTTTTGTCTTACTTTTATTACCCAGAGTTTGATGGTCTCTGCCTTTTAATTGGCGGTGTCGAGACCATTTACAGTTAGTGTTGTTAGGAGCCAGAACCTCTAATACAAACGGGTTGGTTCTCGTTCCAACCAGGTGCTTCTTCTGAGGGCCCTTTAAAGCTGCTGCCCGAGGACTACTTTGACATGGTGGTCATCGATGAGTGTGCTCAGGCCCTGGAGGCCAGCTGCTGGATCCCTCTGCTGAAGGCCAGGAAGTGCATCCTAGCTGGGGACCACAAACAGCTGCCGCCCACCGTGGTCTCGCACAAGTAAGGCCCCTTCTGTGTGAAGCGCCTTTCTCCAGCCCTCCGGTCAGAAGCCGAGGCTGTGCCCTCCTCCAGCCTGTTTCAGTGCATTCACTCATGGAGCTGTCTTCCCTTTCCTTAGTCTGTGCTCTCTGTGGGTGATGTCATGTGACATTCATCAGAACTGGCCTCATGACTGGCCGGTCATGGTGCTTACTCAGAGCTCATGAAGCTCATTTGAAATCTCCCCTAAAGACTCTAGTAGGTCCCTGGTAGTGCCCATGGTGAAGCGCTCGACTACTCACCAAAAGGCAGGTGGCTCAAACCCACTCAGGTGCTATGGAAGAAAGGCCTGGCTCTTGCTTCCCCAGCCCTAGGGAGCAGTTCCACTCGAGTTGGCTTTGAGCCCAGCAGGCGTGATGTGAGCGCCCATGCTGTGCCATGGCAGCGTGTTGTGTGGGGTGTGTTTGCTGAGCTCTGGAGCCCACACAAAGCAGTGGGCAAGGGTGTCTTTCACCGAGACTTCCCAAAGGGGAGGGGGTGGGGGAAGGCTAGGCCAGGCGGCTCCCAGGAAGAACATTGGAATCGCTCGGATCCTGGTGCGCCCTCTGGATGCAGACTGCACACTGGTGGTGGGGCCTCCCCATCCCCTTGGGGTGCAGGAGCCCTCCTGGGATGTTGCACGGGACCCCTGTCCAGACCCTACTGCCCGTTGCTCCCCGGTGCAGGGCTGCGCAGGCGGGATTGTCGCTCAGCCTGATGGAGCGTCTGACGGAGCGGCACAGCGGGCAGGTGCGCATGCTGACGGTGCAGTACCGCATGCACGAGGCCATCATGCGCTGGGCCTCCGTGGCCCTCTACCACGGGCGGCTTGTGGCGCACCCCTCGGTGGCGGGACACCTCCTCAGGTGAGTCCTTGTATCCCGGCCACTCATCCCTGACACTGGTTGCTGAGCAGCAAACTGAGAGCCAGAAGACTTCTCAGCGACCTGTGGCCGAGGGCTTGTCCAGGGACCTCCGTGGCCCTGGTAAAAACGAGCTCCCGGGGTGGTTACCTTGGTGTTCCTCAGAGGGGATCGGGTCTCAGCTTCGTCCCCGGGGCTCCAGGACCTCTTTTGGCTGTGAACTCAGGCTTCATCCCTCTGTCCCAGGGACCTCCCGGGAGTGGCCACCACCGAGGAGACAGCTATTCCCCTGCTGCTCATCGACACGGCTGGCTGTGGGCTGTTGGAACTTGAAGGGGAAGAGGAGCAGTCGAGAGGAAACCCAGGTGGGCTGTGCACGCAGACCCTGAGCTAGCCCGAGCCCAAAGCCACTGTCACCTCTGGCTCAGGTTGGAGCTGACCAAGAGAGCAGGGACGTCCCGTTACTAATGGACGAGTGTGGACGGTTTGTTAGGGCATGGCTCCTCTATTTTGCTTTTAGAAAATGAGTTGTTCTGTGCCATTGAGTCAGTTGTGACTCGGCGACCCTGTATAGGGTTTCTGAGGAGTGGTGGGTGTGTTTGAATCGCTGACCTTGTGTTCATAAGTCCAGTGCTGATCCTATAGGGCCACACCAGGACTCCAACTTGAGAAAATCTTCATCTCAGTACCTCACAGGAAGTTGCTGATGGTTCTAAATGAGCTTGTATTTTACCCAGATGGTACTGTAAGAGAAGCAGTAGACTGTTACCGCCAGGGTCAGTTCAAAGCCACCACCTGTTCTGTGGGAGGAAGATGAAGCTGTCTCCTCCCATCAGGACCTAGAGTCTCAGAACCGCTCTGAGTCAGCATTGCCCTTTATCTATCCCCATGACATCGGCCAGTGCATACGTGGCCGTCACCTGCATGTGTGTGACACTGTGGTTATTCGGTCTGCAGTCCAAGCTTGGTCCACTTAGGTAGCTTCTGGCCTCTGCAGTGGTTTGGCAGTTAAGATGTGCTTATCACCTCCACAAGAAGACTGGACAATGAATAAGGAAGATCGTAGAAGAATTGATGCTTTTGAGTTATGGTGTTGGAGGAGAATATTGAAAGTGCCATGGGCTGCCAAAAGAACCAACAGATCTGTGTTGGAAGAAATGCAGCCAGAGTGCTCCTTGGAGGCCAGGATGGCCAGACTTCATCTTTCATACTTTGGATATATTATCAGGAGGGACCAGTCCCTGGAGAAGGACATCATGCTTGGTAAAGTCGATGGTCAGCAAAAAAGAGGGAGCCCTCCCGGGAGATGGGTTGGCACAGTGGCAGCAGCAATGGGCTGAAGCGTAGCAGCAGGAGCCGGGAGTGGGACGGGTCCCTTTGGTCCTGGGGTCCCTACACTGTGAAGCCCCTAGGTTCTGGGGAAGATCAATGCCAAAGTGTGTGGAAATCTCAAAGGAATGCTGGGTTTACAGATGCTGAAAGGAGTCCACAAGGAGAGAAAGCCATCCCCTAAAGCCCACGCTCTGGATTTGGACTTCTAGCTTCCCGAACTGTGAGGGAATCCATTTCTGCTTTCTAAACCCACTCCCTCTTGGCATTTCCATTCTGGCAGCTCCAGAGAACTCAGGCAGATCTGAGGGTAAAGCAGGGCTTCAGTAAAAGGGTGTGGAAGACCCGCTGTACTAACACTAGTCAAAAGAAATCTAGTACCAGAGAAATTCCATCTTGAAAAATTCCCAGGGAAAAAGAAGGTCATTTCACAATGGCAAACTGGTTAACCAATCAAGAGAACATAACCTTTTATGGAACCAAAATCTTTGGGACACGGCGAAAGCAGAGCTGAGAGGACAATTTATTGCAATAAACTCACATATCCCAAAAGAAGGAACCAAAATTAACACATTAACACGGCATCCACAACAATTAGAAACAGACCAACAGAGGGAACC